TATTGTAGATCGACTGATCTATGAAACTTGAAAATCTTTAAAATTGACGGCCGAAAAATACGTTACAAAATATACTATTTTCAAACTTGAAATCCATTTTTTTCTCATGTCCATACATCTTGATGTCGAGATGGTCAATTTGAAGATATTTGGGCATCAAAACAACCTCTTCTAGTAAAAATTTTGAGGTAGGCTCAAATTTGATTGTTTAGAGCCTCCGCTCTGTATAAACTTTTCCCCTTATATAATTAGGCTATTTACCTTTAGATAGTCACATAATTACTCCAGTCACAATGACTTCTAGTTACATGTGAAATTGGGCATATAATGTGCCAAGGTCACACTTAAATTTTGCCGTTAAGATATGAAAATGGGTGCTACAGATGTTTTAGGCTTTTGGTATAAAAATGTCACATTTATGAAATTAGGCAACAAATAATTTTTATTGATTGCACTCAAAGTTGAAGAAATATTTTAAAATATTTATTAAATTTTGTAAATAAAAAATAAACACCTTTAGCCACCTGATTTCTCAAAATTTGAGGATGCGATCTCTAGAATCGAACAAATTAACTCTCACTCTATATGCCTAAATAAAATATCATCTCAAGATTGCATCAGAACCATCCAATTTTTGGAGGGTGATATAGATATTTATGAATTCAAAATCTATTTTTTTTTTTCTTTGAAAATAATCATCTAGTTAAATAGATACTGAAACTTCAAATTTTTTTTTTTTAAAAAAAAACTCAGAAGTTAGTGTTTTTGCCCGAGGAAGTAAATGTATACTATGCTCCCTAGGGGCATAGTACGCGAGCTCATGATTTGGAGTCCTAGAAATAGTTTATGTTATACTTTTGGTGGAGATTCCTTCTGGAGGAACAATGAATCGTTCCCGTTGATCTAAATAATGGTTTTATTTTGCCACGAGAGAGGGAATTTACTTCAACTGAGGGGGTGAGGGAGGGGGAGAGAGAGATTTGCTCCAAATGAGGGGGTGAGAGAGAGAGAGAGAGAGAGAGAGAGATTTCTTTCTTTCAAATAAAGGGGTGAGGGAGAATCATGTGTATAGCGACGTGGGCATGGCGAGCTCATCCCTTATACCCACTGATCCTCTTCCTCAACAGAGATGAATATTATAACAGGTTCGATTCTTATTTCACTTCTTTTATGTCCCTCTCTTTCTCTCTCTGAGTATGCATAAGTGAACTACGAGTTGGGTTTGGGGCTTTGGGCTACGGAGAAATTTGAATTATAGTCTCGCTCCCTAATGGCTGTGTATATGCAGTTGTTGGATTTTAGTGGGAGAAAATTTGAATAATTGGGGCAAAAATCTGAACAATTCAGGCCTACAGAGCCGGTTTCGTGGTGGGGAGAGCCCGAGATTATTGGTGGAAAGGATTGTTTGGCCGGTGGCACATGGTTGGCTTGCTCAAAGCATGGCCGCTTGGCCTTCCTCACTAACTTTAGGGAAGTTGATGTCACCCCTGATGCTAAAACCAGAGGAGAATTGCCACTTCGCTTCTTGCAAGTACTCTCTCTCTCTCTCTCTCTCCTCTATTCGTCGTTAAAAACCCATCGTTTTTTTTTCCTGAATTCATGAACGGTTCATATTTTTTTTTTTTTTCTGAATTGCTACCCAATTCTTACTGTACAGATTATTCACAGGACTTACTTGATTTTATTCCTTGTCCTTGTTTTCTATCTTTTGCTTTGAAATCACAACTTATGTATTTGATTCAAGTAGTGCTTGTGGTTGTTTTTCTGAATTTGTCCAAAACCCAATTTTTTTCTGTCTTGGATTTTTAAGATTGGTCATGAATTTGGCTTTGGATGTTGAACGGTTCAGGCAAAAAAATTAAGTTTGCTTAAAAAAATTAAAAAAATTAAGTTTGCTGGTTTTGTTCATCTCTCTCTCACTCTGTTGAATTTAAGTACTGGTTAATTGCAGAGTGAGAAGAACCCCATAGAATTTGCTGAAGAAGTGGTGAAAGAAGGGCATCACTATAATGGGTTTAATCTAATCATGGCCGATCTTTGGTTGGAAAGCATGGTCTATGTTAGCAATCGACCAAAGGATGAGCCTGCTACATTCAAAGAGGTTTCTCCTGGTCTTCATGTGCTCTCAAATGCCAAATTGGATACCCCATGGCCAAAGGTATACTCTCAATATGGTTTGATTACAAATCTAAACTTTGTCTTCTTGATTTCCCAGAAAAATGCAGTTGTGAGAAGAGCAATATGACTTCATCCATTTTTACTTTGTTATTTTGATATTTTGAATTAACTTCTTTTGTGTATGGATTTGTGTGACCCTCTATTTATCTATTGTTCTTTAGTGGAAGTTTCTGGACAATTTAGGGCTTTGTGGAGTCTAGATCATAGATACATCACATAGTCTGGATAATTTGAGGAGCTCCAGGAGTTGTCTATTTAAAGTTGGTTTAAAATCCTAAAAAACTGTGGAAGTAAAAGTTTAGTTACGATGCTTCCAACACATTGTGAGTGGGGATCTTTGTAATTGAGTTTTCTATGAGTGGAATGAAAAACATAGGTATTTAATTGGGGATCCTATTCATGGAGGAAATCCATCTTCATCCATATGTTGCACAACAGTTTTGTTATTAAAATCTTATTTATTATAAAGTGGTAAATTATCTATTGTTCTGTACATCCATGATTTTCTGAATGTCATGGTAGGCAATCCATAGCTGCAATATGCTCGAACGAAGCATCTAATTTTATGATGGATTATACGATGTTATTTTTTGGGGAAAATTAACTTTTATTATTGATGTATGGTGGTAGTACTGGACTAGAGGATGTTTATAGAATGATAAGAAAAACCCGAAGTCCAACCTTGCAATGAGTCCTCTCAATTGTGATTACAGGACCAAGCACCTTCTTGGAAGAGTTATTGTACAATGTTTATCTAAAAAGCTCACTCATGACTTCAATATATAGAAAACAGGACAAAAATATATTCATTCAGTGGGAATGAGGAAGCTGTTCTGGCTCCTTGTCCTGACTGATTCTTTAACTCTGATATGTAACTGGGGTAATGTTTCTTGTGATACTCTGATACCATAAGTTTTTCATTTAAGTAGCTTGGTTTTCCCTACATACACTAATTGCATTTAGTCATGGTCAGAATCCAATTTCCTTTATAGCAGTACATACACATTTGAAGTTTTTGAACAGATACTGGATCTAAAGAGCATTGCGTATATTACACCTATCTATCTAGTATCTATAATATGTGTATACATATATATTCAATTGCATTTTTACTGGTTAAACTGTAGGCCTTATGGTTTGGGTAACCCTATTTCTTCAGGCTACCCGTTTAATTCTGAGTTTTGAGAAACTGCTAAAAGAATATGATAGAGAAGAAATCCCTGAAAAAGAAATGCTACATAAGTTGATGTTGGATACAATGAAGGCTGATCGAGAAAATCTACCAAATACTGGCTGTGATCCTGATTGGGATTATAACTTGAGTTCTATTTTTGTTGAAACTGATAGCGAGAAGGTATGTCTTTGAACTCTATTATTAGCTTTAGCATTCCTTGCTCTTCTGCAATGACACAAGATCTCTCTTCCCATTTGCAGGGATGCTATGGTACTAGAAGCATGGTTGCTCTCTCAATAAGAGCCAGTGGTGAAGTAAGCTTTTACGAGAGGTATCGTGACAATGATATCTGGAAGGAGCACTCAACATTGTATAGGATTAACTCTGCCTGATGGTAGCCACTGGTCATTTTGTGATGAACAAACACAACAAAACAAGCTCTGGTTATTAATGTATTACTGGTGAGGGGTGCGATTAAGGAGACATGATGCTTAGTGGTTGCTGGGAGAGATGGGGTCACCGAAGTGGTGTTTGTTTACTTGGGATACCGAGTGTTGCTGTGGTGATTCTATACTGGTTGTTGGAATTTGGCAGTTGTCATTTGTTAAGTATCTATTAAGAATTATTTTGCTAGTCATATATATGACTATATTTATAACTTAGAGCATGTAGATGACAATCCCATTTGCTCATGCTAATGGACTTGGAACGGGTATAATAACATTATTTTCTAGGGAAATTTATCAAAATACACCCATCAACTATTAGACATTTAATCCATTTTCAAATATTCTAACTCATAACAATGTGTGTTTTATGGGCCTTTTGAAATTAAGTCAAAATAAATGTATAAAATGCTAAATATTTCATCTCTTAGGTGCATTTTGACAAAATTTCGCTATTTTTTATCGTTAGATGTAGGACCAATGAAAATTTGTGAATTTCCTTAGGTTGACTTCAGTGGATACAAACCTTGGGTTTAACAGAACTTGACTCACGTTCATGCAAATAAATCTCATTTTATTACATAATCACAGGCGCAATCATAAAGACACGAGTTTGTGTTTGTGTGCATTGTGTGTGACTGTGATTGTGTGTGAGAGAAAGAGAGAGAGAGAATATAAAAAGGAATAGGAGTATGCAAGTAAAAGCTCGGAAAATTCAGATTTCAAATGCTTAAAAAATTTGGTCCCTAACCCTGGTGAAAATAAATAAGATTCTGGAACTCGATTTGGGCAAACAACAGCAGGGTTCCTTAGACTTGAAAGGCTGGAAGCTACTTCCCTGTGAAATAGAAACATATCCATAAAGAGTGAAATTCATTATGTCTGTATCTTATAACAAAACCCTTGGTCGATGGTACTCTAAATGAGGCTCCCCGAGTGTTCCCCTGGAATTAACAATGAACTCAAGAAGCTTGTCTTGTCCCCTTGCCTCTTAAGAGGACAAGCCTGGTCTCATTACTGCCTTAGTATGCGTAAGCACTTTCCATATGTTGATGATATGTAAGTCCCTAAAATCAACCTCAATTTGTTTGGTTCATTTACAAAAAAGGGGCAATCTGGACTGCAACTGCATTATCTTTTTTTGTCAGGTGCCTGTACAACTGCGGTTGAAGTCCAGGAGACTACAACTGCACCTCAAAATCCATCACATGTTGAAATAGATGGCTCAGTCAAGATCCTGAAATACATGGTCCACATCAGATGTTAAGAGAGCAGTCAGGATGGAGCATTTTGGGGCTCCAATTCCATATTTTTTCCTTTAGGATCTTGATTTAGGAGGTCAAGAATAGATTTCTAGATTTTTGGGTACTCAATCCATTCCATATTTTTTCCTTTAGGATCTTGATTTAGGAGGTCAAGAATAGATTTCTAGATTTTTGGGTACTCAATCCGTAAAAAATATGGCTTTTCGAGGTGTGATTGTGGTCAACTGCTGTTGCATTCCGAAATTTGCGGTCTCTTTTTTGGGTTAGATAGTATTGTCGTGGTCATTAACTAGGTTTGAGGAATTTTTAGTGGCCAGTGTCCATAAAGATGGCTAACTGCAATTAGATTGTAAAACATGTCACTTTCTAGATCTCAATCAGGAGTTTGTATCCTGAACACTGCTAGCACCTCAAGTATTTTCAGAAGGGAATAAACCATGAATCTCAACATGTGAGATTTCCCTCAGAGACACGGTCATCTTTTGAGGAAGACACAGCAATCAACTTAACCTTCCCATCCCCCTCCAAAAGGGCCACAATTTTAGCCCCTAACTTAAATCCCACCATTTCCATTTCTTTCCTGATTTCTCTACATTTAGCGAGCCTCCCTCTTCGTGCATAAAGCTCAATCAAATCACTATAAATATCATGCGTTGGAGAAAACCCTGCATCCTTAAGCCTAGAGAAGTATCTCACTGCCCTCGCCAAATCATCCAATGCCACACAGAGCCTTATTATAACTCTATAAGCTGGAAGATCTAGAAGACAATTAGACCCCTCCATTTCCCAAACAAGAGCCATGGCCTCTCTATATCTCTTTCCAATGTACCTACTATGCACTACTGTAGTGTACATTACAACACTTAGGTCTTGACCAGACTGCATGAACCAGTTATAGAGACTCTCCACTGCATCAAATCTCTGAAGCTTTACACAAGCCTTCATTATAGCAGTACTGTCTTGTTGCCTCAAGTTTAGTTCCTCTCTCTCTCCTAGCTCCTCCAATATCCTAATTGCAAGTTTTTTCTTATCTGGGAATTTAGCAATCTCAGCTAAAAGCATAACAGAGACACTAACATCGAGTGTTCGGCCTGTATCTTTAGCAACAAGGAGGATTTTTCTGGCAAGATTGAATTGCCCACCTCTGATACATCCTTTGGCCATGGCCTCAATTACAGTTCTGCTTGCTGAGCTCATAATATCTGCAAAATTAAATGCGTTCTTGAGCCTACCGGTTCGAGCCAATACCTCTACGGTAGATGCGAGAAGCCTATCATCAGGGAAGAGGTGAGGGTGCCTTTGAGCCCAACAAAAGGTCTCAAGAGCTCGATGGGGCAACCCCATGTGACCCAATTCTCTAATGGTTAAGGATAATGAACCCTTTCTTAGGATCCTGTATCTTTTATTTAGGACCTCAGAAGAGTTCTTCTCAGGTGGAAGGCCTCTGATTTCTCTGGCGATTTCAAGAAGAAAGTCTGGGTTCTTGTAATTGAGTTTACAGAGAGAGGATCGAGAAGCTGTAATGGCCGGATAGGCTGATCTTATGTGATTCTTGGGGCTTGGAAGGCCTAAAGGTCGAAGCTTGTGAGGAGTTGGAAGGGGCAGGGGTCGAACCCTCCCCAATTTTCCTGGTTTTTGAGGGATTCTACCTTGAAAAAGAGAGAAAATTGTGTCTAATTCATCTGGGCTCCATGAATCCTCATGTCTCTCTACTCCCTCTTCTCCTCGTTCATAAGAAATGTTGGTTTCCTTTCCCAAAGTTCTGGGTTTTCGACGAACTTCATCTTGATAGAGAGAGGAAATGGCCTCTAATTCATTTGGGTTCGGGGAATTCCCTCTCTCTAATCCCACTCCTTGTTCGAAAGAAATACTGCTTTCATCACAGATCGCTGGCTGTATCTTGTATAAAGCAGGGTCGACAGGCAGCTTCTGTCGCCTTGGATATCGAAGATTTTTGGGCTTCTTTTTATGCTTGGTTGCCATCATTTGAATCCTAAAACAAGAATTCTCACCGTATCTGCAATACCCAATTGATATAAATTGTTGGTTTACCAGTTTGATCCCAGCCCTTAGAATCACCTGGTTTGGAATGAGAAAGGAGGCCATCCCTGCAACTTTAGCACCACAGATTACCCTTACATAAGATAGTTCTTCACGCTCTCCTTAAGCTTGAATTTTCAGTGAGGGAATCTGTTTCTCACTCTACGCCAAGGCATCAGAATTCTTTCCACTCTATGCTTAGGCATGAGAATTCCAAGCGAGAGATTCTTTGTTCTTCACTTTATGCTGAAGCATCAGTGTCCTCTGTGAGTGATTCTATGTTTCTCCCTCTACGCTGAACCATCAGAATTTTCAGTGAAGGGTTTTGTCAAACACTTGGCTGAGTACGTCGAACACTGTTGCGATCCATGATTCCCTCCTATCCTTTGTTCAAGATTGCTGTCATAGACATGGCTCAGAGTGAGAAACGAGGCCATAGCTGCAACTTTAGCACCCCCACTAAATCTTTAGTTTCCCACTCTAGGCAGAACCATCAATTTTTACTCTCACTCTACACGGAAGCATCAAAATTGAACGAGTGATTCTCCCAAACACCTGAAGAATGATCCATGGACTGTTATTTAGACCTTTGGAAGAGAGAGAGAGAGAGAGAGCTTGGTCGAGATCGAGAGAGAGAACTTATATTTTTTGTCACAAGAGAGGGAAATAACTTGATATTTTTTTGAGAGAGAGTACTTGATATTTTGTCGAAGATGGTGCTTATGAATGAACAGCCATTCAACCAACCGAAGTTTACAAATTAACTTTCATTTTCCAAAGGTTTGTCATGCTTTGGTTTTCACTTTATTTTTGCCCTTTTTTTATTTTTTGACCAAGAATAGTACTAAATCTATTGACTGAGAAGAAAGAAATCACAACATCCGAAAAATGGAAACAAGGCAATTCTAAAGAAGATAAAATTATCAAAACAACTATTTAACATTGTACCCATGGTTTTTAATTAAATTTCAAAATATGGACATATGATCATGAGTCAAAAGTGTGAAATGCTAAATAATGCAGCTCTCATATGTATAAAATGCTAAAGAATACATCTCTCATCGATATTTTGATAAATCTGCTTAAAAAAATATCATGAGTAACAACATTATGATCGAGAAACTCCTTGTTTGGCCAAAACTATGCTTTTTGGTTTGCCTATCAATAAATATGTTTAAAAAAGCTCTCTTTCTTTTCACCCTCATCGTGTGTTGCACGTGTAACTGTAGGGAGATCTAAAAAATAACAAATACGTTCATAAAATAAATATAAAGAGATCTAAAAAATAACAAACACATCCATAAGATAAAAATAAATCGTTGATAAATTTTAAACATAAAATTTTTGAAATAGTTTGAATTTAATGAAATGCTCATTTCATTGCTTATTTATTTTGGGTTAAGATAACATTTTTTTCAAACATTGGATGGTGGTAAATAATTAATAAAATATTAACCAATAAATATTAGAAGCATGAGCATTTCAAATAAAAAAATATTATTTCTAGAAGTGAAATCACAAAGAAAATAAAAATGCTATTAAACATGTTTAATATGTTAAGGTTGAATTCATAAAAAAAAATAGTTTGAATTACTTCACCATAAATTTGAATACATATCCAAAAGAAATCCAATCTTTTAGCTTTCTAATAATATAAATTAAAAATAAAATCTACACAATAAAATTAAAAAGGTTAGTAACGTACATGATACAAAAAAATATATAAAAAAAAAGAAAAGAAGAGCAAACAGTCAAATAAATATTAGATCAATTATTTTGAAGGTAAAAAACATAACATTGAAAGGATATTCAACTACAAACACGATTTAAAGCAAATAAAAATAGATTATAAAATATTGTACCACATTTCATATAAGCAAGATGATACCTGCATAAGCCTAATGCATTAGTAAAAATTTAATCTAACATATAAAATTAATAAATCAAAATGCTATTTATAATAGAACTTTTCTCTTCTCAAATATCTCTCATGCCTCCTCTCTATGGTTTCTCTTTCATACCCCCTCTTTACTACTTCTCTCTCATGCCCTACTCATGACTTCTATATCTTTGTTTTCTCTCTCTCTCTCACTCAGGCCCCCTCTTTGTCCTCCACTCCCACACCCTCTCTCAATATGAGAACTCCCGCCTTCTCCCCTTTCAAGCTCTCATTGACCCCCCTCATTCTTTCTCCTCTCTCTTTCTCTCTCTCTCACTCTCGTCCTCGTTCCCCATATCTTCTCCCTTTAGCATTTTTTAAAATATCTTTTTCCCTACCTTCATCTTCTAACATTTTTCAATTCTCATATATCTCCCATGTGAATTCTCTTTCTTTTCACCGTTATCACCTAAAATCTCTTCATTCCCATATTTATATCTATATTATATATTCAATTTTTAAAATATGGAATTTATCTTTTTCAAAAGAGATAATTTCTAAGATGGTAGATCTATGTCTCACTTTCTCTCTCGCCCATGTCCTCTCTTCCGCATGTGAGACTATTAAAATCTCTCTTTACCCTCATTTCCTAAAATTTTTCAATTCCCATATATCTAAAATCTCTCTTATGGTAATTTCCTAAAATCTCTCAATTCCCATGTATTTTTTTGAAGACGGGATCATTAAGGAAGTACCACACATTATTTTTAGGAGTTCTCTCTCTCCCATGCCCCCTCTTCCCCCATGTCAACCTCTTTTAAAATTTCTCTCTACTCTCAATTTTTAAAATTTCTTAATTCCTATGTATTTTTTTTAATTATTGAGGAAGTACCACAAACTATTTTTAAGAGCACTTTCTCTAAAAAGAATGATGACTACTCCCTCTTTTAAAAAAGATGGATACTATTTCTCTCTTTCTCTTCTAAAAAAGAGGCCTACTTTTCCCTTCTCTCACTTGAAAAAGAACGAGTCATACTCTCTCTTCCAAAATATGTGTATTCTCTTTCTCTATCTTTTCTTAAATGTGAGAATGTCCCCTATAACTCTATAGAGTTAGGGTCCCTTCTTATTTTCGACACATGTCTTTACCCCTTAACTATTGTTAAATAATATAGTATAATGTAGTATAATATAGAATAGTGTTATGCATGTACGTTGCACGTTATCTGATTTAGCCGTAATTGAATAAATTTTCATTTTGAAATAACATTTTAAAAAATCCATTATTTGATTATTAAGTTCTTTTTAATTGAAAAAAAAAGGATACCAGTTCATTACCAAGCTGAATATTAAATCGAGAAAGAGTTAAAAAGAAAACAAAAGCTCACATACCTCTAAAGAGATTAGATAGAGAGAGATATGAGAGGAAGAGAGATAATGAGAGAGATAAATATGTGGAAGAGAGACGTGAGAGAGAAAAATTTGTGGGAGACATTTAAGGAAAGAGGCAAAGAGAGAAAGAGAGAGAATGAGAGAGAGAGATAAATGTATGGGAAGAGATTTAAAAAAAAAAAAATGATTATGGGGAGAGATTTAAAGAAAAAAGAGAGGGAGAGAGACGTATAGCATTGGACAGAGAGAATTGAGAGAAAGGGCAATTATAAAAAATTAAAAAAACACTATTCCTCTTCCATAACATAGAGTAGATAGTCGACACTTTATACAATTACAAACCTCACCCCTTTTATTTTGTGTATATGTTATCTTTAATTTATTCTTTAAAGGTGATTTTCGTAGAGCCTTCACATGCTTAGCATTTGAAAGCAAAATGCAAGACGCATGCGACTGAATAGGTTCAAAATGAAAAAGGGAAAAATAATGCGGGAAATGAGGAAGGAATTCACATGCGTTTTAACCACAATATGAGTTTCATGTGACACATGATCCAAGCCAAGGGAGAAATTATCGAACCCTATTTACTGGTTTTATAGTTGAATCTCTCATCTTTCTTTTTAAGGTGTTAAAATTATGGAAAAAAGCTAATATAAGGTTGTCACCTTAAATTGTAGGATTAAGGTGTACCTTAAAACTTCATTGGAAAAAACTATTTTGATATTGGAAAACAGTCTAATTGATCATCTCAATATCGAGATGTATAGATATGATAAAAAAAAAAAGAAAAAAAAAAGATTTCAAGCTATAAAATATTATATTTTACAACATATTGACTAGTATGTCCATTTTCAAGATTGCCATGTATTTATAGATCTGCTTGATTTGAACTATTTTTTGGAGTTCAAAATTACGGGAAACTTTTCTTTTTTGGAGAACAAATATAAACCTCAGAAAATATGTTCACTTGAAAACACCCTCTCTTCCCAAATTTGGGCAAAGGGAGAAAGCAGAAAACCAAAACCAAAAAAGTTCATATTTTATCACAGACTTACAGTATGCTATATGAAGCATACCAAGAATGTATATGCTAAATGTGATCTTACATACAGTGATATTAACTGTTCTCTGCCTCAAGTTTCACTCTTCACAAGCAGTTCATCTCCACCTCCTGTTGTCTAGTATAGATGGCCTAGATTAAATCATCACACATCATACTGTTGATATACTGCATGTGTCATGGTAAACAGTGACCTCCTCTTGCTATAACAAGCTCCAACCACCATCAAAACATACAGTGTCGGAAAATGTGGCCGCAGCGGCTCCTCCTCGCCGCCCTGCTCTCTCTCACCATCCTCCTCACCTCCATATTCTTCTTCACTCTCCACTACTCTCCTGGATCGTCTCTCCACTCATCAGAGTCGTCGCAGGAATTGGTCCCTCAGCCTACCGAGCTCCGTCTCTTGATCGGCATCCTAACCCGCTTCGGCACTATCGACCGTCGCCACCTTCTCCGGCTTGCATACTCTGTCCAGCCCTCACCCACTTTCCCTGCCGTCATCGACGTAAGGTTCGTCCTCTGCAACCTCACCTCGTCAGACCAGCGCCTGCTAGTCAGTCTCGAGATCCTTCGCTTCAACGACATCATCATCCTCAACTGCTCTGAGAACATGAACTCAGGAAAGACATACTCGTATTTCTCTCAGCTTCCGGCCATATTCCCCGACACCGAAAAATACGACTACGTGATGAAGACCGACGACGACACGTACATACGAGTCTTGCCTTTAGTAAGCTCCCTAAGGGCTAGACCACGCCATGACCTATACTATGGCTTTGTAGTCCCCTGCATGAGCATGGATCCATTTAAGGGCTATATGTCAGGAATGGGGTTTGTTTTGTCATGGGATTTGGTGGAGTGGATCAGAGAGAGTGAGATTCCTAAAAACAACACAATGGGGCCTGAAGATAAGGTGGTGGGAGAGTGGTTGAGGTTAGGGAGTAAAGGGAAGAACAGGTGGTGTGAGAAACCAGGAATGTATGATTATCCAGGCACAAATGGGAGGTGTTCCCATGGTTTGATAGAGGAAACAGTTGCAGTGCACAGGTTGAAGAGAATGGACATGTGGGTGAGGGTCTTTGAGTATTTTAATGTGACCAAGGGGGTGAAGCCCTCTAGGATGTACCATCTTGATTGAGTTCTCTCTCTTTATTGAGAAATTGGATAAGTTTTGTAGGTCAAAGAAGAGCACAGCAATACCCTCAATCAAATCATCCAAAATGCTCTCCCTTTCTCTAACATCTTGTATTTTTTGCATTATGATTTCTATGCTATAGGTGATTGTTTTGCATTGTGATTTCAATTTAGTGAAGTCAACCCATTCCTTCTATTTCTATGTTCTGGGTAATTATTTCTTTTTTCCTTTGCCTTTGAAAGAAAAAATTAAGCATATATCTGTTATTTTTATAATTATTATAATATTACTGAAATTTTTACCTTATTCTTAGGTGCCCCAAAACAAATTCTGAAATTGTCCTTATTTTCGATCAGGATCCAAAATTTAAAAAATAATAATTGGACTTTCAATGCAATTTTTGGATTATAAAATTCCGAAAATTTAAACTTAAAGTAACTTTTGAATTTTGAAAATCCAAAAATTTAGATTTTGCAATTTTCGGATTTTAAATCTAAAATTGCAATTTTCATATTTTGAAAATTATGAAAAATTGTAATTTTCAAAATTAAAAATGGTGGGGAACTTTAAAATGAAAATTTTCCGATGTTGAACATTCGAAAGTTTTAGATTTTGTTTTTTGGATATTCAACAATCAAAATTTTTTTTTTTTTTTGTCAATTGGGGCAAATGTAAATTTGGGATCTTGAAAATCTAAGGGCAAGTCGGTTATTTTAAAATATGGCAAAGTAATAAGGAGCATATAATGGGTACAGTGGTAATAATGAAAATTTTTATGTGATATTGTAATATCATTAAAAATCATGGATATATATGTAATTTTTTGAAAAAATCAAATTAATGTATTTTTATTATGAAATGATTTTTGTTTGTTTACTACTTTTTCTATATATATCATCATTATTAGAACATTTTTTTACTATTTGGAGTCGGCTACATGAATCCTGATCCACCATTATACTATATCAAGAGACATACCCTCGGTGATGCTATATACTTTTTACAATATATATATATATATATATGTGTGTGTGTGTGTGTACGCGTACGCATATTAAACATTTTGTAAAAGATAAAGTTGACAAGTTATTTCTTATATATACCCAAATTAAAATATCAAAAACCACTAACCAATATAATAGTTTTAACTTGCATACTTCTTATCAGTTCCCTGCAAAGTTCTCCGCGTTTGGGATCTTGATATTTTAGAGCCAAGTATCTTTTCAAATTCATATTGATAAATTTGCAATTAGAATTGATACATGTATCATTGAAAGGAAAAAAGTTATGTTAGGTTGGAAGTTTGCGGAAAAATTTTTGCTATATTTTTATTATGCATTCTTATGGCCCCATATAGTTGGTATGACGCTCGAATGATGATGATAATTATTATCGAAAAGTCTTTTTATCAATATAATAATGAGAAACTTTAAATTATCATGGTAGATAGATTCTACTTATATACAAAAAATATGTGGAATTTTAATTCTTCTTGTTACCCTGATTAGTTGAGAAAAAACATTTATGATGATGAAGTGGAACTTGAATAAGGGAAATTTTTAATGCATATTTATCTGTTTTGAAATGTTATAAAGTTCTCTCTATCTTTTACATGTCTAATACTTTGATGGAAAATTTATCACATTATGCATTGAGAGATGAAAATTTTTACACTTTAACACTTTACCTCGAGGTGGTGTAGTTGCAAACATGCGAAATGTTAAATCCTTCATCTCTGATAAATATTCTGATAAATTTCCCTAGTTTGATGTCTGGTCGTATTGCTGGCAAAACCGAATTGAAAACTTTTATGCTTGGTATTTAAATAATAAAATTACAAAACCCTCTTATATAAGAAAACACTAGTGAAGGGAGATAAATGACATTTTTAGATAGATTCATGACCCTTTTTTTTATTTTTATTTTAATGTTATTCAGGATCCATATTTAGATTGGCACTAACCCAACCCAAAGAGTTCGTACATCTCCTATACTCCTTAAAATACTGAAACTAAACCATTTTCTTAGGAAAAAAAGAAAAAATATATGTTGAACTTTTTGGAAAATTGTTTCATGCCGGCTGGATCGCATTGCTACAATATGCGGTCCAAAGGTATAAAGCATCTATCTTAAAGATGGATGCAAATAAGTGGTCCATCTAAAAACAAGTGTAACTAAGGGTCCAAATGTTTTCTTAATATAATTATTATTCCTAGTTTTTAAATTTTATTTTTCATGCTTATGATCTCCATGTTAAAGATGATATATCCTCTAAAAATTAGGATCAAATTATATTTAAAAAATATATTATTTACCAAGAACCGTGGCCATATTTTTTTGCTTCGGTTTCACTACTAATTTCCCCCTTGCACATGGGGCACCCCTTTGCCTACCTTCCGTAATTGTGCCGTGTCGAATGTTGTAGTCGATTACAATGTTTCTTTGGGTAGATGAGTGGCGCGAGCGTCTCCTGCCATAATGGGAATAGACCTCGAGATATCATGTTGTGGCACTTATTACTTTAATCACCTATGTTCTGAATCTTTTTTTTTTTTTTTTACAAAGTTATGGAATTTTATTAATAAAATGAGTTACAACAAATTATAAAGAAAAAATAGTAGAAACAAGAAACTCCACATATTGAACTCCTGGTTTAGCTAAGGGACCTGGTTTCTATGAGTTACAACAAATTATAAAGAAAAAATAGTAGAAACAAGAAGCTCCACATATTGAACTCCTGGTTTAGCTAAGGGCCCGGATTCTATGCGGCCAAGCACGCATATGTAGAAATGCATGTCTCTTAATAAATATATTTTTTAGAAGGATTTTTGGATTTAATATTTAAGGACATATAATCTCTAACATGAAAATCATGAATATAAAAAAATAAACTTTTTTTAAGAAGTAAAAATAATAATTCTAATTAGAAAACATTTGAACAGCAAATTTCCATTGTTTTTAAATAAGACACGCATCTGAAATGCTTTACACTTTTTTGGACCGCATATGGAATCATGTAGCCGAGCCCGCATGAGACCATTTTCCTTTAGCCATTGCATCAGCCAAATCATTGCTTTGAGTCCATTCGTGATTCAACACAATATTACAAATCTTTCCCTGTATCGGCTAAAGTCCTCGTATTCAAGACGCAAAGTGAATCATTCCCCGTTTAAATGAAATATCAGCAAAAGTTTCAAAATACTCCCTACAATCATAGGCATTGGCATAAAATTCATAGAAAGGGGAAAGGCTTCTATGCTTCCCCTACAACATAGAAGTTCTATCCTCTCCCTATCATCCAGCCGTTCAATTTTGATCAAGAGCGTCACTTGCTGTTTGATCTTAGATCCGACGTCTCAAATTATTTTATTTTTAGTTTTTTGTATACAAATTGTATGAATATGAAACTTGGTACGTGCCACCTTCTCATTGACACGCACCTATAAAAAATGTTAAAAATAATTTTTCGATAAAATATAATGACAAAAATACCCCTTGAAACTCTCGAAGGTATTTTGGTAATTTTATTTTATTAAAAATAATTTTTTTTTGCTAGTACAAGTTTAATAGAGAAATAGATATCCAAATTTGGTGTCAAAATAGTTTATTGAAAATAAAATGGTGTAGAGACGTGACATTGTGATTGGGGCAATCTTAACCCTGCATTCAGAATGGAGGTTGGATAAAGAGAAGGATAGAACTTCTTTGCTGTAGGAGAAACATAGAAAGCTTGCCTTTTAGAAATGGGTGCAGTTTGCATACAGATGCATCTGTAGTTGTAGAAGTAAGGTGCACCCTCAAATTTTATCATGGTATATAAATTTGATGTAAAATGTTCCTAGGATTATCTTAAAATCTATTTTTATATCTAATTATAAAATTTTAAATTTAAAAAATGGTTAAAATCAAGTAGATCTATAAACATATGTAAATCTTGAAAATGAACGATGTGATAATATGTTGTAAAATATACTATTTCTGAGACTTAAAATCTTTTTATTTTTCATACGTCTCAATATCGAGATGATCAATCAAATGGTGTTTCAACATTAAAACTACTTTTTTTCGATAAATTTTTGAGGAGCATCCGTAGTTATACATTATAAGGTAGCATCCTTATATAACCATTAAAAGTACCTTTTTCTGATGGATTTTATACGGGCATCCGTAGTTCTACATTATAAAGTAGCATCATCCTTATATAAACTTTTTCCTTTATAAAGTTCACAAAGCAAGGTTATTTACATTTTTATTATAGTGTGTATCATATGCTCCCCAAAAGCAGTACTATACATTTACTCCCTCATACAAAACACCAACTTGGGAATTTTTTTTTTTAGGGCCCGTCTTCACGACGAACAAGCGGGGCCAGGGTGCAAGGACAGGAAGTGAGCAGTCTTGCGACCGGAGGAGATCTTTCCTTTATTAAATGAAAGAGGAGAGGGGTTTGCATATCTCAATCCAAATATTTGAAGTTTCGGGATCTATCTAATTATATCACGATGATTATTTTTAAGCAAACAATTTAAATTTTGAGTATATAAACATCTAGATCATTCCTTCCAAACATTTGACAATTCAAGTGCAATCTTGGGACTAATTTTTTTTTGGCACATTAAGAGTGACAATTATTTTTTTTAATTTTATTTTCTTTGAGCTCATTTGCCGGATTTTAGAGATCACTATAAAAAGAGACCCCTAGAGTAAATTTTTCCTGAGGGACTAAATAGATAGTATACTTCTACAGGTGTAGGAAACTTGTTGATATTCGATTAAGTAAAGCAAAGAATTTTGTTTCAATAAATTGAGCATCCTCTCACTAAAGTTAAGCTATTCCTCTCTAATCTCTCTAAAGCGACCAACTTTTCTCACCTTTTATGTGAAAAAGTTTGGTGAGAGAAACTTTTTTCTCTCATAAAACACTCACGTTTTATGAGAGTAAGTCATTCCAAACATCATGCTGCTCAAACGGCAACCATTTGGGGCCGGCAATGCGCCGAGCCCATGGCCATAGCATGGCAGTTAGGCCGGGCTGGCCTGCCGTCTTTGATAGGCCCAGCCCAGCATTGTAGTTTGTTACTTCAGTTTTTTTTCCAATTTTTTTTTGTTAGGACTGGCCCAGAGAACTTGAGCCATGGCCCAAGCCGGCCTTGGGCCCGACCTATAGGGCTGTCTGAGCCAAAGCAGCCCGGCCTGTTGCCAGGCCTAAAACCATGGCTCTCTCTCTAAAACACAAAATCACGATGTGAAGAAAACTAGATTGGCGTTTGCATGAGATCGATTCAATAAAGTCGGGCTTTTCCTTAATAATAATGTGGTTGAATTCCCTATCACGAAACACCCACCCTTGGGAGCCAAAAAAAAAGCATTTTCAGACTCGGTAGAGCTCACAAGATGCCCAAATGGCTCCTCTCTCTCTCTCTCTCTCTAAACATGAGATGCCTCTGTCTCTCTCTTCATAACTATTTCCGTACGGGCAAGCTTTTTATGCTTCCCCAATCATCCATTTTGAGTGGAAGGTTGAGATGATTCGAAACACAATATCACGTCTCTATATTATTTTATTTTAATTTTTTTTTATATAAATTATTTTGATATCAAATATTGTGCATCTACTCATTTCTTAAATGCGCAATTTTAAAAAATATTAAAAGAATATTACCAATAAACTAAAATGATCAAAATAACCTTGAAAGTTTTAAAAAGTATTTTGGTTATTATATTTTATCAAAAAATATTTTTAATATTTTTTTTAGGTGTGCCAATTGGGGAAGATGGCAAGTACCAAATTTAATATTTATATAATATAAAAAAAACTAAAAATAAAATATTATGAGACCTCAGATCTAGCACAAACGGTAAGTGACTCACTTGATCTAAATTGAGCGATTGGATGAGTGGAAAGCATGTATCTTATATGCTATAGGGAAAGTATAGAAACCTTTCGCTTTCCGAGTTTCCTACTTTCCAACGTTTTTCCAGCAGCACTCAATTATATTATGGATCATATCAAATCCTTTAAATCAGGCAAGCATATCATACATTCATATAATATCTAAAAAAAGTTAAAAATAAAATATTATGAGGCATCCAATCTCGAGCAAACAGAGTAGCACACTTGATCTAAATTGAACGATTGGACAATGGAAAGTATGATCTTATATGTTGTAGGTGGTGTATACAAACCTTTCCCTTTCCCTTTACCTATTTCCTATTATCCAACCTTTTCCAGCAGCACTCAATTATATTATGGATGATATCACACGCTTAAATGAGACAAGCATATCATACATTCTATTTCCATCCTATTTATTAACTTTTTTTTCTTTTCATTCGAATATAGCAAGCAGATAGATAAATTTATAAAAAACCCATCCGAAATATTATTTCAAGCCAAGCCCAATACAGGTTGTATGCGTATGAGAAGAATATCAAATAATTTTTAGGGCCTGTTTGATAATTGGAAGCTAAATGTTTTTTGAAAATTTGAAGTTCTTTTTTGCTGGGAAGAAATAATTATTTAAATTTTTTTTGAGTACATATGTTTGATAACTTGTTAGAATACTAAAGAAGTTCTAGGCATGTATTTGACAACATGTTGAAATATGAAGTCATGTTTATTTAAAGGGAAAAATTTATATAGAACTGAGGTTCTAAACAATCAGATAAGAGCCTACCTAAAAAATTTCATTCGAAGAGGTTGTTTTGACGCCCAAATATCTTCAAATTGACCATCTCGACATCAAGATGCATGGACATGAGAGAAAAATAGAGTTTAAGTTTTGGAAATATTGTATTTTGTAATGCATTTTTGGACCGTCGATTTTCAAGTTCTCATAGATTTGCTGATCTACACTATTTTTTGAAGTTTTAAACTTTATAAATAAAGAGCAAAATATATTTTAAGGCTATCACAAAGATTTCCAATATTGAAACGACATTTTTCAAAACTATTTGAAGGTAGGCTCTAATTTGATTGTTCAGAGCCTATCTATACATACCGCACCCTTATTTTAAATATTTTTAAAGTATTTATATATTTAATATTGTTTTTATAGTAGACATAAAACAATATATAATACATATTGTATTACAAATATCTATTACATAAACAAAATATATTATATATTATATTTTATATTATGTAATATATATATATATATTATATTGCATCATATAATAAATAATATATATAACAATATATAATATATAATATAGTGTATTTCATATTTATTTTATTATATAATATATAATAATATATATTATATTACATAAATCTATATACTATATAATAAAAATATATTAATAATATAAATATAAATATAAATATATTATAATATATATTATATTATATTAATCTATATTATATATTGTAAAATATAATATATATTATACAATAAAATATAAAACATCTATTATATATATAACATAATATATATAGTGTATTTTATATTTATTTTATTAATATATAATATGTAATATGTAATAAAATAAATTATTTTAGTGATATTTAATTGTATTATATAATATAATACAAATATAAGTATAAATCAACAATATAAATATAAATATAAGGAGGAAGGCAGAAGTTTTTATTTTAAATACCATTTTTTTTGTTAAGCACGAGGAAATACCATTGGTGTAACTTCTTTACTACCCTAACTTCATGTATGAGATTATTAATCTCTAAAATGCGAGTGTGCATTGGAATTTAGGAGAGAGAGAATGAAGTGAGAGAAAGCTCCTCTCTAACTTGCCATAACAACCCTAGGACAGGTTGCGTACATGCCGAGACGCTGCACTCTAATTTTAGAAAGACGAAATTGTTTGACTTTATCCTTTAATTTACTTTAATTTAATTTAATTTTTCTAGACAGACTCCATTTATGAGAACCTTATCCTCCGAATTTTAGAGAAATATACAGAGCCCCTTTCCCGTAATTATTTATTTTCATGAGAAAACCCAACGTCTCATGTGAAATACCAAAATCTTTAAATCTAACTAAAATACCCTTACTGAAAGGACGTATCACAAGGTTGCTTATTTGACTATTGCTTTAAACACTGTGGGCATTTCAGTCCTAATTAAATGTAAAACCGAGCGCGCGATTTAAAAGCCAAACTTTCAGAATTTTAGAAAACTTATCAATTCAACAACTGAGATTTTAAATTTCAGGAAAATCCGATATTATCGAGTCTCTTGATATCAGTAAGATTCCATTTTAATGCGATTTCTATTTCCTCTTTTCTCTATAAAATCGCAAGCACCCTTCCACTTCCGATTACCTTTTCTCCCTCTTCCTCTCTCTAAGTATTCTGTTACTTATTGTCTCTCTCTGAAAGTTCAAAGAATTCGTTGTTTCTCTCTCTAAAGCAACAGCCATGGATTTGGATCTCTCTCCCAAACTTGCTCAGAAAAGCTTCAGCACTGAGGGAGGGTCTTACTATGCCTGGTCTGCCTCTGAGCTCTGCATGCTTAAAGAGGCCAAAGTTGGAGCTGCAAAGCTTGTTTTGGAAAAGAATGGGTTCGCTTTACCAAGTTACAGTGATTCAGCTAAGGTCGCTTATGTTATTCAAGGTATTCACAAATCGAGCAAAGCATTTTTACTCTGAGAAATTCTCTATGTTTCATGGCTTCATCGTTTTGTGATCGGATCATTCTATCTGTTTCTGTTTATTGAAGTTCTGAAATCAGGTTATTCCCCTGTAATGGCCTCTGTTTTTCTTATCAATTGTTTTTGGAAAGCACTTTGTAAGTTTATGATCTGATTGCTATTACTCTGGTTTCATGAAGATGAATTTCTGTATTTCTGTTTTTTTATTATTTTATTAATTTTGCATTTGTGATTTTTTCTTCCATGCTTCATTCATGAATCTGATACTTACTCTCTTCTTCCAAAATCTGATTTTATATTGTTTCTTTTCTTTAGTTCACAAGCAAATTAAGGGTGTATTTGTGAACAAATGCGTCTTAATGTGTGATAACGGGAATGATCATAGCGAATAATTACATGATTCTCAATTGTTTTTCGAATTATTTCATTATCTGTGTTTTACATAAAATTTTGTAACACATGCTTATGATTGTAAAAATTTCTATACAAAAATGCACATAATTTTTTCCCTGATGTTATCCACGTATTTGTCAGTTTGTTGTTCAAATTTACATGCTACTGACTGATTACTTATATAAGCTATTTGTCCTCTGTTTTTGTAATTTCAGCACACAAGTATTTTTTTATCATAAAAACCATTTATACAAGGTATTTTCCTCATTTTCTCCATTTTAATCACAGATCTATTTTTACCATTATTGTAGTTCTGGATAGTTTGTCTTTTCAAATTTTTTGAGGTAGTCTCTCTCTAAAAACATGAAATTTGAATTGGTTTTTCTTTCTAAAGTTTAAGATAGTTTTGCTCTCAAAAAAATTAAGATAGTTTCTTTGAAAATTTTGAGATGCTTTCCTTGAAAAATTCAATGCATATAAATTAATAAAATGAAACATAAAGTAAGTTTTTTGGGGGAGAGACATAAACAGTAATAATGGTGAAAGAAATTGGAGAAACATAAACAGTGATAATGGTGAAAGAAATTGAAGCAGATATATTGTTATACTTTGGGCTCTCTCTATTGATGAAAAGAGAAAAAGAAAGATGAATAAAAAAAGATTTACAGATTTGTAAATTACAGTCATCGCCAACAGGTATGTGGTTAAAGGATTAATAAATGCACAGTTGGGTTTTTATAACACAGACGAAGTTTCTAGTGGAGAAACAGTAGATTAAAAGCACCTTGTCAAAAAAACAGTAGATTAAGAGCACAGTTGGGATTTGCTTATCCGGATCAAATATTTTAATTAGAAATATACATCCGATTAGAAAGGAATTACCCATCCATTTGATTTCTTTTAATTATGATTTTGCTTTATATCAGGAAAGGGCAGAGTTGGCTTCGTTCTCCCTGAAGCCACCAGCGAGAAGGTCACGAATATCAAAAAGGGTGACGCCATTGCTGTTCCATTCGGTGCGGTGACATGGTGGTTCAATGACTCAGAACCGGAACTCGCCATCCTCTTCTTGGGTGACACTTCCAAAGCACACAAACTTGGTGAGTTTACCGATTTCCCAATCACGGGTGTTGGCAGCACTTTCAATGGCTTTTCCACCGAGTTTGTTAGCAGGGCTTGGGATCTCAAAGAAGAGGATGTTAAGAAGCTTCTATCGAGTCAGACCGAGAGGAAAATAATCCGAGTCAATGATGGCGTCTTGTTGCCCGAGGCAACATCTGACTCGTCTGGCCTGGCGTTCAACTGCGAGGAGGCAACACTCGATGTGGACATCAAAGGAGGAGGCAAGGTAATTCTCTAAATTTCCTTTTGTAACTTAATAAATCAAAATGTGTTGGCAATGCTATTGTATTTGAAATGTTCAAAATAATTTGGAAGCTATTCACTTGTTCAGTTATACTCTGTTTTGGGAATTTATCAAATTACCCATATGAACACTTTTACGCTTTATTTATATTTTTTATTTAATTTCAAAATTGAAAAATAGATGATTTTGTTGGATAATTTATAAGTCTGTAAAATGTTGAATGGTTAATGTCTTAGGTTATTTTGATAAATTTCGCTATTCACTTATAATAAAGCCTAACTCTTGTATAAAGTTGTTCTCTTTAATGTTAACAACTGGCTTTCTATTAAAACAAATGTTTGAAACGTCTCCCAGCCATAATCAACGATAATTGATTCAAGCTTAGAATTAATAATCTATAATATCTCTATTCTTTTTAAAAAGTTATAAACAACGATAATTTATTCAAGCTTAGAATTAATAATCTATAATCTCTCTCTTCCTTTTAAAAATGTTGATTTCTTTCATCCCATTCATGCCTGTTAAGTCAATTTCTACGTTACATCTCATAGAGAGTTGAATAGTGCTCCTTGGCGCAATCACTATTTTGAATGAGGAAAGTGTGGCCCAAAGTAAGCTGAAATTTTACTAATAGGTAAAAATTAAGTAAAAAATTATTGGTAAAGCATTGAATTGTTCATTTCTTAATAGGTAATTTGATAAATTTCCAGACATTAAAGAAATGATTGAACTTTTTGGTCGTTTTTACTTTGTTATCTTGAAGGTGGTGGTCTTGACGGGGGCTCAACTGCCTTTGCTGAACGAGGTTGGACTTGGTGCAGACCTAGTTAGGATTGAGGGGGTCGCCATGTGCTCCCCTGGTTTCTCCTCTGATTCGGCTTTTCAGGTGACTTATATACTCAGGGGTTCAGGAAGGGTTCAGGTGGTTGGAGTTGATGGGAAGAGGGTTTTGGAGATAAGGGTGAAGGCCGGGTTCCTCTTCATAGTGCCCAGGTTCTTTGTTGTCTCTAAAATTGCTGATGGTGATGGCATGGACTGGTTTTCCATCATCACCACTCCTCAGTGAGTCTCTCGCTCAATATTTGTTGCTTTCAAAAGTTTTTAACTCTCTCTTTCAATTGATGCCCTATTTTGTGCTAAATATTGGTTTCATTTTATGAATGGGACAGGCCTGTGTTCAGCCATTTGGCAGGGAAGACCTCAGTGTGGAAGGCATTATCGCCGCAGGTGTTGCAGACGGCCTTCAATGTGTCTCCAGACATGGAGAAGCTTTTCAGGTCCAAGCGGACCAAGGATGCCATTTTCTTCCCGCCCTCCAACTGAGCAAGCTCTTTTCTCTTTTCTTGTCATTTGATTTCATTCGCTGCTGTTTTCTCTTATGCTGCCATATTTCTTTGCCTTCTCTGAAGATTCAGACAAGTTGTGGTTGTGACGATTGCATATTTTCTTCAATAAAGTAATTAGTCTTGATCTCATTTCAGTATTGTTTAATTGAAATTGATCTCATTAATCTTTGGACTCTTGAAAATATCCATCTTTTCCACCTCTTCTATTAATGATATGTGTATTTCTGTTTCTTGAGTTTTATTCTCCATCAGATGTGAGACTTCAATTTATTTTGTGGTTTTCTTTATTAATTTCTCTAGTTTTATTAAAATTTTCTACACAATTTAATGCTAATTTTCTTCATGGCTGTTCTTTGACGCTCTGGTTATGATTATTGGGTCTTAGCTGAAATTGGTACTTTTAATTGTCTTCTGTTACCTTGATGGTTTTGGGCCTTTTAGCATAGGATGCGGTTTAGCATGCGGAGCTCCACATGTAGAATTGTAGGCCCCTTAATAAATTTATATTTGAAAAAGAATTTGATCTTAAATTTTAGAGAATATATAATCATTAACATTTGGGGATTAATGAATATGAAAAAATAAATAAATATTAAAAACTAGAGATAATATTTCTATTGAAAAAATATTTTAACTTCTAGTTCAATTGTTTTTAGATGAACGGCCTATTTGTATCCATCTTTGAGATTTTGGATCTACTTTTGATGGATTGGTTGCATACTCGTTATTTGTCTCGTGTCATCATGTGGATTATGGCTCTTGATATTTTTTTCATATATGTTTTTTGGACAAAAATACCTTTTGCATAAACCCACGATTCTCTAAAAAAAAATTGTGTAATTTTTCTTTGGAGAAATTTAGATATGTTTTTATCTAAAAATTTGAAATTTGAGACGGTTTCTCACACAAAAATTTGATATTCTAGATGAAGGAAATTACCACCAAACATTAGATAAGAGAAACATCACAATTTTTTTTTTTGTAGAAAACTATCTCAAATTTCAAAATTTTAAATAAAGAAACCACCCCGAAATCTGGAGAGAAATTACATAATTTTTTTTGGAGAGAATCATCAGTCTATACATGGGTTCTTTTAGCCCAAAAACTAGTAGGGAAAATATCTTACAGACCACTAATTAGTATTTTAGTTCAAAAACTAATAAGGAAAATATCGTACAGACCCCTAATTAGTATTTTAGTCAAAAAAGTTAATAAGGAAAATATCATACAGACCCTTAATTCTTCATCTTATTTTATGATAGACTCTCCTATTTTTCTTTCAAGCGGTATAAAAAACACTTGAGTATTTCACCGTATCCCTTCATCACTTATTTCTCACATTTATTTACTTTTGGCTATAAAAGCTAGTTTCAACAAATTTTTTATTTCATTTCAATCCAAAAGTTTTTTTAATCTTATTTTGTATTTTTAAAAAAGTTTTGGATTGAGATGGAAAAAAACAATTTGTTGGGGTTAGTTTTTCTGGCCATAAGTGAATAAATGTGGGAGAGAAGAGATGAGAGGGTACGGTGAAAGAAAAATAGAATGAGGGTTACGACATTTTCCCGAACTAATATATTTTCTATCTTAACCGGTGATTGTGGAAACAAATATTAAGTATGTCAGTTGCATAGTTTGAAAATTATTCGCATACGAGTCTTCGAAAATATGGTCCAAGGAAAAAAGACATTTGTAAAATGCTAATAATTCATCGAAAATTACAATTCAAGTATTGAAAAACCTTTACGTCGATAATCTCAACTTTGAACATTGTGATAATCAATATTTTATAGGGTAAGGTCGTATACAAATTTAGTGTAAAAAAGAAGACGAAGATCAAGTGCCCGATTCCACAATGACAAGAGATGAATGATCAGAGTATGAAGCCAATCTATCAAAAGTTGATCTGATCCAAAATGAAATTTAACGCCAAATCTTAGAAGGTAACCTTGAAATAAAGACTCCAAATCCAATAAATATGGTACGGGCCCAAAACCATAAGGCAAAAGAAGACAATTCAAGTAACAATTTCAGCTAAAGACCAAATAATCATAACCAGAGCGTCAATAACAGCCATAAAGAAAATTTGCACTAAATTACATAGAGATATTTGAATAAGTGTTTCGTTTTTTATAAGGTTTCAACCTTAAACAATCCAATTAAGGCACCTCCAAATTTTATCATTACATGTAAGTTTGGTATCAGAAATTCTTATGATATATGAAAATTTATTTTCATATCTAAGTATACAATTTTAAACTCCAATAATGGTTAAAATCAAGTAGATCTATAAAAAAGTGAAAACCTTGAAAATGGATGGTCCAGATAATGTGTCGCAAGAAGCATTATTTACGGGACTCAAAATCTTTTTTATTTATTTATTGTCTAGATGATCAATTAGAGGGTTTTTCAACATTAATACAACCTTTTTCGATGTATTTTTGTGGTGTATCTTTAGAGAAAGGTTTCTATACTTCTCCTACAACATAGAAGATTGATGCTTCCCCTACCATTTGTCGTCCACTTTTGATCAAGAGAACTACTCACCACTTGATCTTAGATCTGACTTCTCAAAGTATTTGATTTTTAGTTTTTTTTATACAAATTGTATGAATATGAAATTTGGTACGTGCTATCTTCTCATTTGAGCGCACCTATAAATAATATTAAAAATAATTTTTCAATAAAATATAATGACCAGACTATCCCTTGAAATTTTTAGAGGTATTTTTGTCATTTTATTTTATTGGAAATATAATTTATATTTTTCGCTAGAGCAAGTTTAATAGAGTATTGTAGAGCAAGTTTAATAGAGTATTGGACGTCAAAATTTGGGGTCAAAATATTTTATAGAAAAAAAACTAAAAATAAAATAGTGTAGGGACGTGACATTGTAATTGGGGCAATCTTAACCCTCCATTCAGAATGGACGATTGGATAAGAGAAAGTATATAAGTTTTAAGAAAAATATATCTTTATCCCATATTTTTAACTTCCATATAACAATTAAAAATATTATATCTTTTCTATCTGACAACTCTCGGATCCTTTTGACTATAAATTTTTGACCCAAACAAATACTAACATGACACCCTATTCAAACTCTATATCTCTCTTTCTAAAACTACATCTCTCTCTTTTCACTTCTCGGTGAGTTTACCCGCCAAGGGATTTAGCTTGAGCTCGAACATGAGCACACCTTCTTATGTGTGAGAAAGGGATGGAGTTTTAGAAAGAGAGAGATGGATTTTGGGTTTTAGAGAGAGATAGAGTTTGAGTTTGAGAGAGAGAGATGGAGTTTTGAGAGAAAGAGACGATGATGTGTGAGAGAGAGATGGAGTTTGGGTTTTAGAGAGAGACGATAATGAGAGAGAGAGATGGAGTTTTAGAAAGAAATTTGAGAGAGAGAGATTGAGTCATTTTATAAGTTGTTGAGGTCACCAATACATAGTAAAAAAGGTTTAGGGGAATGGAAGATAGAAAAGCAAGTTATTTTGCTTACAAATAATATTTTCAATTTTTTGATCTGATAAGATATAGAAGTTAAAAAAAAAAAACAATAAAATATTTTACCACTTTATGCAGGGGAAGCATTGAAAAGCTTGCCTTTGTTTTAATTCTATATTTTAAGATTACAACCTTACATAAACTTGTCCCTTTGAATAAAGCTAGAGAAATTAATAAAGAAAAACCCAAAATAAATAGAAGTCTCGAATCTGATCGAGGATAAATCTCAAGAAATAGAAAAATACATAATCATTAATAAAAGAGGTGGAAAAAAAAGATAGTTTCAAGAGTTGGATGATTAATGAGATCAATTTCAATTAGCAATACTTCATTGATTTGTCGAGAGATCAAGAGATAGCACAGGGATGAATTTAAGCCAGAGCAAAACCATGAGAGAAAAAGAGAGGCAGAGGGGGATGGAAAGGAGCCACAAATGAAATTAGGCAGCACTTGAAATTCGAGAGAATTACGCAGCAAGCAAAATTTGAAACCACATTAGCATACATGCACCACCTTATGGATCCATTGATGGACTTTGTTTTTCCATTTTGAGTTCATTAGTAATGAATGGTTAGTTAGAATTTTGCAAAGGGAAATTGTTTCACGCGGTCTCGACCGTATTTCTATAACATGCGGTCCAAAGGTATAAAACATCCGTCTTAAAGATGGATGTAAATAGGTGATCCATCTAAAAAGAAGTGTAACTAACGATTCAAATGTTTTCTTAATATAATTGTTATTTCTAGTTTTTAATGTTTGTTTATATTCGTGATGTCCATGTTAAAGATTATATATTATTTAAAAATTAAGATAAAATTATATTTTAAAAATATATTTATTGCCAAGTCCACGTTTCTACAATATGCCGTCGGCCACATAGAAACCAAATCCTTTTGCAAAACAACAAAATTTTGGCAAGAAAAATTAAAGGTTGTGGTTTGCATATGGTTGCAACCTTAAACAATCCAATTATAAGATGCACCTCTCAAATTTATCATAAATATAATTTTATTTTTCCCAATCTTAATAACGGAAAAAGTTTATATAAAGTTGCAACTTTAAAATGTAGAAGTAAAGATGCACCTCAAAATCTATTGGGAAATTTTGTTTTAATATTGAAAAATCCTCTAATTGATCATCTCGACATCGAGATGTATAAATATGAAAAAAAAAAAAAATTTGTGTTTCAAAAATAGTGTATTTTGCAACACATTATCTAGGCCGTGTATTTTCAAGATTTTTATATGTTTATATATCCATTTGATTTTAAACATTTTTTTAGTTTAAAATTTTATAATTAGATATGAGAAAATATTTTCACATAATCCTAATAAATTTTACACCAAAATTACATGTTATGATAAAATTTGGAGGTGCACGCACCTTAATTGAATTGTTTAAGGTTGCAACCTCATAAAAACCACACCCATGACAAGAAGTCAATTTAACCGACATCTTGAGATATATTTTATAGAGAGACCGCACAAAAATAGTGCGAGTCATCCACTTACCAGATACGTTTCTTTTTCGTAATTTTTCCAAAATTGTAATTCAATGAAAATATTTTAAATCGATTATCTCAACTTGAACATTATGGTTGTGAAAAAAAAATAAAAAAAATTCAAGTTATAAAATTAGTGTATGTTCCAACAAATCATCTAGAGTATCACCGTAAAAATAAGTGTTCCCAAATCCATAACATGTATACTATTTTTTAAATTTTAAAGTTTATTGTGAGCATTGAAAATTGATTTTAGAGCCAGAGTTGCGAGGATTTTAGGTGAGGCTTTATTTTGTTTTTGTAAAGGTTAGGCCTTATGGAAACTTCAGCCCTTATTAATAGGCAGAACATGGAAATCAAAATGACATGGTCACCGTAAAGTTGTGTCCATGACGCCTGAACGCCACCAAGCCAGCAGCGACATCGCCGCTCCACTCATTTTCTTCTTCATCCTCGCTTTGCACCTCCTCACCCAATTCCTCGGACATATTAAAAAGGTTCCCTCTCCTCTTAAATTCCATAACATCGTGCCCTAACAGTAGAACTCTCGCTCTCTCTCTCTCTAGGTATCTTGGTATAATTTGTTAGGTTATTTGTTTTGATAAATATATGATGTATTATCTTTTAATTGGGATTATGGGGTAAGTTTTATCAGGAAAACCAGGGCATCACTGGACTTCAAAACCACTATCGTATTCCTATGCTTTACTTATATTGATGATTTCATAGAAAACCCATATTTTACTCCTAATGTATAGAGAAAATGGAAATGGTTGACAATTCACGGATTCATGTTGGCTCACTAGCGTAAGTGGAATGGACGGAGAAAACCAATTTCGGTAGCAGTTCTATTTAATTTTAATATGAGACTTATCATCGTAATTCATGAGGTTTGAGCACGAAGGTTTAAAGCATGAACATCTCTGCCATTATCATGGTACTTGGTTCTTGTATTATTTGATGGCAATTATCTCATTTATTCCCTTTCAATTTCAATCTGACTAGGGTTGAACTGTTAATATGTTAAGAATTTATTTAGCATGACCAGGGGTATGTTGGAATAACAAATCCCTTGTTCACTCTATAAGCAGCTAAACTTGACCAATTCGCAATGCTTTTAGTCTATACATGGTTTTCCTTACTGATTTTGGAATCTATATTATGTAATTTTGCTAAATTTAGCCAATATATGGTAATCGTAGTATTTACAAAACCTGCTTTGTTTGGAATTAGTTCAGACCTTTGAGATCTTTCACCTTTGACCCTGACCATGGTAACTCCATTTCTATGTATTATTGGTGCCAGTTCTTTCACCTTTAGATAGTTTTATTGATAATATCCATTTGAAGATCATCTTGAGGTGATTGTCGACATATGGAAGTAGCTTTTACCGAGTGGGCCATTGAATGGTTCATTTGTAACATTATGATGTGAGCTATGCCGAAGGAAGACATGTTCCAAAGACTTAAGGGTGAAACTGTTATGAAATGTATCCAGATGGGAAGCATGAGTAGACATGTATCTGGAAAGCACAAGTAGTTATTTCATTCAAAACCAGTTGGCATAGAGGGTCTTCACAAATAAATAGAATAAAAAGGCACTATTATGGCAACATCAATAATAATGTAGAGAGCCATAGGAGCAGTGTGTGTGTGTGCATGCACACTCATGTGCATGTGTGTGAACTTGTAGAAGGTTATACAAATGAAGCAGTTGCAATTAAAGGTTATAAATGGTTTACAAACAGTTAATAGCCCCAAAGTGAGACCCTATAATACATGTAAACTACTTGGTTTCTCTTTGTTTTGTTCATCCATGAATAATGTCGAAACTACATGAGCACATTTTTTACTGAACACACTGTTAGTTTTCTCTTGAAACTCTTCCAAACAGTGAGTTCTAGGACAGTAGAGATAAAAAATGTGGAACTTTTACAGGTAGTACTTTGAGAACATTCACTCTAGAAAATTTAACCATGCTTGTTTGTTCAAAAAAAAATGCAAGTTGAAATCACATATTACCTTTTGGTAGTGAAATCACATATTACCTTTTGGTAGTGAAATTGTTTAGATTGTTGCATTACATCTGATAGATTTAGATTACCTTTTGGTAGTGAAATTGTTTAGATCGTTGCATTACATCTGCTAGATTTACGCGGAATATGTGGAACAATCGCACCTAAGGTTTTCGAGTATCATGGTTTACATTCTCATTTTAATCTGGTTCCCCTTTTGGGTAACTTCATAAGGAATGAGCACATGCTTGTGTTTGTTGCTCATATATTTTTCACTGTACATATGTATGGGTAAGTATTCTTGGTAAATGCAGGTGATTTTATAGTGTATATCAAAAATTATGTACGTATTGTTAGTACTTTCAGGTGATATTTCGATGGTTTTTGCTATATTTTAATGATTTGCTTTATCACTACAATCAGTGACTTCATTTGTTGCAGATATTGTGACACAATTTTTCTTTCCTTCCTTTGGTTGAATATGTTGCTTTTGTGGCTTTGTATTGTTACTGTCAGAGAGGATCACAGAATATCGAACTGATTAAACTGCGACAAGAGATTAAGCAACTTTTGAAAGAAGCAAGTTCTTTATTGGTGTGAGTCATTCAATTGCTTAAATTAGATCTATCTTGTTATGTACAAGCAACATTTGAACTTTCAAGTACATTTAGCCTTAATCCAAAAAATATGTTAAACTTCGTGTGGATTTTATCATTGTGAAGTAAATCGTGTTGTTTTTTCCGTTTTCTTTATTTGTTCAATTTTTTGTTTTTTGATGAGCAAGTCCGACCCTGTATGTGTACTTAACAGTGACCGTCTTTTTATTCAATCACAATTGTGCAAAATATTGTATAGAAGATGCATTGTTTTGCCTAGAGCATATTAGAATTTTATTCTATGCATTGTTCTAATCAGTAATCATACGGAGCTAAATATAGTTTAGGAACTAATTTATAGCTTTGGGCATAGAAATTGGTTAGAAACTAAAAATGTTTCACCTTCAGATTGGAAAAAATGATAGTGAAGTCCCATTAGCATTAAATCTCTTGTTAGTTTGTTCATAGTATCCAAAGGTAGGATATCGATACCGATGAAATTAGAAAGATTTGACAAAAGTTCAGAATCCAATTGTTTAGTAACTTGGATTGATTAACTTCAAATTTTTTTTGATGAACTTCAATTAAATTTTCCATGCCAATGATTAGGAACTCTCCTGGGCCAGGGACTCGGCGCTTGGCCGAGGTGATTACATGGCCAAGCCCTAGATAAATTAAAAAAGAAAAATATGAAAAATTTGAAAAAAATAAAATGAAGCTGCCAAAAGTGAAATAAAACTGAAAACAACCTTAAAAACTCCAACTAAGCTTAACAAAGAATAGGAAACAATGCATTTGAAAAAAAATGATTTATAGCTGGGGGGCATTTTAAAAAAATCCAAAAAAGAGAATATAAAAATATGGATTATGCCAAGAAAAATCACAAACTTTGCCAAAAGAATCCAAATTATATGTAATAAATTTATAGAGAAATCCATATTTTCTACAATTCTTTTGGGACTTTTTTGAATTTTTTATGTGCCATGAGTTGTACATAATTCTTGGTTGCTCGGCCTCACCCATAAGACGAGGCTACTCGCCCGAGTCCAATAACACTGTTCCATGCCATTCAACTGTTTCTTATTTTAAAAAATATGGTTTTTTTGGTAACATTTTTTGTGGGACTCATTATCTTGTTTTCCAAGTAAAGTAGACTGAACAAAAGGTTTGTGGTACAAAAGACTTTCAGAATCCAATCCTTCATTGGTTTTGATTGTGTTTCCTGTTTAATATTTTGTTGCATTTATGGATATGCTCCCAGTTACTCTCCTGCCAAATGAAGTACACATTCATCTCAAGCCAGTTCACATCAACTTGGGTCTTGATGTTTTTCTTTTTCTATGAGCTAAAATTGGACCTTCTGACATCAATTAATTGTGCATTTCATGCATCTTATTCTTTGTGATCAACTATTTCATTTGCAATATACCCATTGGATCTAATGTCTTTGCAATTTTTAAAATAAAAATTCAAGAAGCCAGTTGAAAATGTCTTTGCAATTTTTAAAGAATAATCTTTTTCAATGGATTAGAAAAGAATCTTTATTTATTATCGTGCCATATCATGTATGTTTATACGAAGATCAGATGGTTAATACTGGTCAAACCAAAGCTGTATGCACCCTAGCTCATCACCAAGCCAATCTTTCTAGGGTGGGGTTTTGGTAAGGCCTCAGCCTTTTGTGCCATCTGATAAAAAAGGATGGCACAGGATGCGCTGAGACCTTGTCGGTTTGCTACTTATCAGATGTGAAAACATTTTTCATCTTTCTTTTTGTTCATTCTGTACTTTTTGAGAGAATGTCAACAAATTAGCTGTCGGTTTGCTACTTATCTTTGAAAATATCCCCAACATGAGAGACCAGAAAAGACCCAATGCACTTTTGCCATGTGGACAAACACTCGCAAATTATTGAAATGGTTCCTTAATGACGTCAACAAAAAACTCACTCTTCAAACTTTTCACTACTGTCTTGAGTTAATGGTGTCTTTAAATATTTCTTTAGTAAACATTTTCACATTAGTAACTATTGGCCTTCGTTTATGGTTTCAGGCCATCTACATTTGCAAAAGCTGCAAAGCTTAGACGGGTTGCGGCAGAGAAGGAGAAAGAACTTTTAAGGAGTACACATCCAGCATTGTCTAATCCCATTCTTGCTAATTGTTTTGTCTTGAAAAATGCGATTATGGTATCATTTATTTCCTATAGGATCACCTGCTGCGACTACAAGCTCCTAAACTGTCTATTGTTTTGTTCCAGTCCAGAAATCACAAGAAAAGGACAAGCTATGGGCTTTTGATTTCTATTTAGGATCTCTACAGATTGTAAAGGTATCGTTGGAAATATGGTCATTATTTTTCTTATATTAGAGTTATGGGGATTTATATGGGTCCATGAAATTTATCAATCATGACCAATTGGTTTCAATAGTGGGAACCTGAAATCTTTCAGACATGTGCATATTTTGGGCTCATTTGGTGGTTCTGGGGTGTCCCCGTTGCAGTCATTTCTCGCCAACTTTTGGATCCCTTTGGTATGGTATCCTCAACTGGCTACTTAATCTGACTTTGAAAATTTGTATTTAGCTTTCCATTGGTATGCAAGGAATCCGACATGTACAGCTATGTTTTTTGTGGCTGCAAATTCGAGATTTGATTTCCCTGTGCAAAATTTTATTGTTTGTACTCTGTTTTATGTGTAACTAAATTAATGTGATAAGATGAGCGGTTTGATCAGTGCCTGACATGGTATGTGGTTAGAGCGCAATGCCTGTAACTTCTTTCTTCCTTTGGCTTTATTCCTTCCTGGCAATGTAAACTGATTGATATGTCTGGTGTTACCATGCTGAGTTGATCTTGAGTTAAAGCTTTCTCATAAATAAGCTCACAACATATGTAAGCTTTCTTTATGGTGGTGCATAGGGTTTTCTTCAACTACAATTTAATTTCATTGTTTTCTTTTTTGGATCAATTGAACGGATGCTTGTTATATCTCAATTTTCTCTTTGTATGTCTTGAAGTCTTATTTTATAACCGTCCAATTCCATTGCCAATTCCCTTCCTGCTTATGGTCTATCTCTGTCCTTTCTTACCAATTCATCCGTCCAGGGATTTTGCCTCACGAACTGATATCATTCCCTTATGGATTCAAGGAACATAGCATGCCATGGGTCTTCCCACTAACTCAGGACCTGCCATTGGGGCTTCCCGCTGAGGGCGGGCTGTGTTTTTTGCTTGCTGCGCCACCTTTTTGCTAATATAGCTGGGTTGTCATTTTTGGTCTATGCTGTGTACAAATCTTTGATCACTTGGTATAGTACAAGATAACCACTTTTTGAGAGCTGTACAAAGCACCCTGTAGCTGCATAACCTATACTCCTTTTGTAAACTTCCCCTTTTAATAAAAACACAAAACAGTGAACTTTCATTAAAAGAAAAACAAAAAAGCATAGCATGCATTGGTTAATGGCCTTCAGCAGTTATACAAATTCAGTCCCCTTCTCCCACTTCTGATTTTTGTTTCAAAGATGCGGTTGCTTGCCCTAAAGTCTGTAGAGAGTTACTTTGAGCAACTTGTTGGTTGGGTTCCATTTGCATTTTTGCTAGTTTGGTTAGAGTCAGTGCAGTTGCTCTCATGTTTCTGCCAACTGCTAGATTATGCGAGTCAAAATCCTTCATGCTCAAGATCCTAGAGACAGTACAACTTAGCTGTGGCTTCAAACTTACTGAAAAATGGAATTAGCTGTATGTTACCTGGCTTCTCACTTTTATATTTGAAGGAGATAATTGCACTGCTTAGAGTTTTGGCTCAATGAACCCATATCTTTTTCCGCTCTCACTATGATTGTGAGGTGTGTGGTGAGGTTTATCTTGTAAATACATGCCTACTTGCTATTTAATCTTGTCTACGAAGTTTCCATCTTTCAAGTTTGTTTAAATTAAGATCATGACTTAAATATCATATGCACGAGAGAGAGTTGTAGTTTTCCTCGGTCGTATAGGAACTTTTCCTCTACTCTATGGAACTCTCTCACTCTCTCTCCCTTTGTTTGTGTGAGTGTGCCAGTGGATGCGCGTGCGCACCCTTGTGTGTGTGTGTGTGTGTATGTGCGTCTTTGTAAAATGCTTATTACGAAAAATTGTGCAACAACCAAATTCCCTAGATAAAAATTTTCTTAGTTGTTATATTCCTTCATAAATCTCTCTTTTGGCACATTTTATAGTCGAAGTTACTAGATCAATTCTTACCTATTTCCATAAAGGCTATATATTACCATTTCACAGGTAGGCTGCTGTCATGGAAAGCTGGAGACTCTACAAGTAACCAAATTAAGGTAATTTGATTGACTTTAATCAACATCGGTGACCAAGTGTACTAACGATTGGTAGGTCCAATGTCTCCTGATTAAACTGAACAGAAAAGGCTTACGAGAACCATTATTTCCCGTACGGCTTTCTTGGTCGTCCTTTAGGAGGGTTATTCAGGTCATCTATGAAAATCAAGGGCTAATGTTTTAATCCTTGAAAGGGATCTATTTATTTTCTCATTTTCTATTTTACCACTCCTTTGCTTCAATTTATTACTATCAAAAATAAGTTTATTAATCAAAACCTTGTTTCAGGTTGGGATCATACCATGGTTAATATTAACATCTAGGGTCAGTACCTTCCTCTGTCAAAAGGTCTCATCAGCTGGACATCAAAAGTCTTGAGATCATCTTCGCAGCAATATGGGGCTCATCAAGTCAACCCTCGATTTGTTTGGGGTTTTTGATCCTTGTATTTCTTTTTCTTTCCTTTTTTTTCTCCAAGGAGTTCAGCTAGGATTCAAACATAGGCTGTAGTGTTGTAATCATCTACACCTCAACCAATTAAGCCCAAGCTCCTTCATCCTTACATTTCTTATGATGAAGAATAGGTGAGTCTTTTGCAAGAAAACACAGCATGCACGTTCTCTCTTTATTTCCTGTCTATTTTAGTTGTTTTAGAATTTCTCTCACCAAATCATGACAAATGATGAAGTTCAAAACAAAAATAACAACTTCCTTCTTTTTTCTTTTGGGTAGGTGTGCGACTTGGACATTGTGCTACAGTCAGTACCCTAAAAGCTGAACCAAGAACCCAAACTTGATGCGGGTTTTGAATCTTGACATTATGATGTGGCATAATTTCAAGGTCACTCAGCTTTCTTCAATCTATCTTTATACTCATGGATTTCAATCCACTAAACCCAAGATCTTACCACTGTACAAACTAGCCATTGCTTCAAACTCATTAAAAAATGAAAGTAGTTCTTTAATGGAAAGAGTTTCACTTTTTTCGTTTGAGGGAATGTAATTATGTACACGAGCTATCAACTGTGACACCAACAACAAATTTTTCTTCATTCCTGGTACATGGTACATGGCACATGGCGCATGTCCTGTAACTGGGCCTCTCCAGTACTGAATCAAGCCATACATACAGCCTTGCCTACACGGGTAATTGACAGCCTTGCATGATTAGCTGTAACAATAACTTTGCATCTTTTGTAGTTGGCCCAGTTGAGGAACTTAAGCTCTCTCTCCTATCATAGTTAGAGCACATTGAGTCAATGATCCAGCCTCAACTGTAATCGATGACTTCAGAGCTAGAAATGTGTTTCTCCAATTGCTATGCTTCTTCATAGGCTGATTCTGAACTTATAAGTCAAGTCTATTATGCTATTGCAAAGGACGCCTAAGCATCCCATTCTTCTTCGATCTCGCCTTGATGACTTGTCGTCATCATATTTCCTTCAGCGAATCTCTTTTTCTTTGACTATCAATAACGAGCAATGTGGCCTTTTTTAACAATTGTAACGCTCGACATCTCGTTGAGGTTTCCTTGGTCACCGATCTGTGTCGGTATTGCCTTGTCTAGCTCCGTCTTGTTGGAAGCCCTCTCTCCTTCGGCTGGTCTTTGTGATCGCTCATGCCTTCTTTCATGCGAAGAGTGCCCCCTCCTCGAACTTTACAGATACTACAACCATTTGTCTAAGCCAACGCCTCCTGGTTCGCCAATAGACTTTAATTATAGAAGATCCTGGTTCGCCAATAGACTTTTTAATTATAGAAGAAACAGTTGTGTCTGTCTTCCTCTTATGGCCATCATGAATTTAAAATTTAGTAATTCAAATTTTGTGACATCACATATCCTTACAAATGCAATCAAATATATTAACAATGGTTTACTTGAAAATTTTGAGTAGGGTATTTTTGTAATTTTAATTTATATTTAAAATCCAATCATCATTTTAAAAGTTAAAAGAATCTTTTTTTAATTTGAAATTGCGTTTGGGGGATTTTAATAAGACCAAAATACTCTTTTTAAGGTACATGAATTATTTATGGTAAAAAATCACTTTTGATCATGTAAGGGTATTTTATGGTAAAAAAATTTGGAGTACTAAATTCTAGGTTCACCATTAGTGTGGTGTGTGTAGAATGGAGGCTGTCAACCCACGAGCTGACTGGTACAGTGTCAGCTAATGGCCCAGATTCAATCTGGGCCAATGAAACAGTTACGACTTTATTTCATATTTGAATTTTCATATTTTTTTTTTGTATAAATCTAAATCACTTGAAAATTGAAGCGTACATTCTACTCATCAAGGTGCATCTAATAAAAATATTAAAAAAATATTTTATAAAATATAAATTGACCAAAATACCTTTGAAATGTTTTGAGGGTATTTTAATCGGTTTATATTTTTTGAATTATTTTTTTTATATTTTTATTAGATTCTACTATTTTTTAAGAATAGACGTTTAAAATTTCAAGTGATTTGGATTTGCATAAAAAAAAAAATTCAAAAACGAAATGAGGTCGTGATCATTAGATTAGGTCTAGATTTAATCTGGGTCGTTGGCTGACACTGTAGCTATCAGTCCATGGGTTGACATGATCTTTTCCTATATATATATATATAACGCTTACTATCATCACCATTCAAATTTCATCGTATAGTTACAGTTGTTTTGTAGTGTTTCATTTTTCATTATTTTTTTACAAATCTAAATTATTTGTAAATTTGAAGCATGTGTACATCTTAGTGATGGGCATCTAATAAAAATATAGAAAAAAATAATTACGTAAAAT